GAGCTCTTGGGTCTTTTGAGATGCGGTGATTTTTAGGTTGTGTGATGCTGTGTGTAAGCTGGTTAAAGACTGTTACTGGCCTCTAGCGCTGCTCTGACCTGAGGGTGGTTGGTAGTTTGAGCCTGGCAGCTTCCCCTGCCTTTGGTGGTTCTGTCTGCACTCTCCTTTCCTTTTGTCATCCACGTGCGTGCCCAAGAAGAACAGGCAAGCCCATCTGGAGCATAGACTGGATTCGGTTTCTCGCTTCAGTTAACAGAACCTGGCTTTTTTTTTTTTTAAAGTGGTAGTATCGGCTTGTGTTGGTCTGATACATCTTCCCTATCGTTCTGTGCAAATTCATGATTGTTTCCTGTGCCTGAGAACGTGGCAGGGAAATGTCTTTGTGCACACAAAGGGCTGTCAGAATCGTGGAATACATAATTGATGAGTTGCTTTCCTTTCTTGTAGGAGTCTTCCATGCAAGCAAGCTCCTCTGCTCAGTTGTTAAGTTAGGACAAGATTTTCTTGGGTGCATTTGTTGCTGAATTTGGGCCTGTCCGCTCTCTGATAAAATTCAACATCGTGAAAGCCCAAGGGGGAGGTGGGGGCTGTTGTAACATTATATTGGTCTTTATTTAACATGTTACATCTGTGATTTCTAAGCTCTTTTCTGTCACAGACCTCTATAGCATCTGACTCATTTCTTGGAACGCTCTCATTGCCAATCCTGCTCCAAACAACCTTTTCCTTTCCCAGCGGGCACGAAGACTGTGCCCTCTGTTGCTGTACGTACTTTCAGCTGGGTGGCTGCTTTGCTGCCAATTGAAATTGAGTGTTGTGGCTCGAAGAATAATTCCTGCATGATCTCAGATGTCCTTCCTGAAAGAGGAAGGAGAATGAGTCTAGAAATGCGTTTTAGGAATCGCTGTGGTACATCATTTGCAAAGAATCGTTTTAGTCTTAATCGAATTCTTTTCTCCGCAGTTTCTATTGGATTCTTTGATGATATTGTCATCCCACCAGAATCCCTGCAGCAGCCAGCTAAGTTGTATCCTTTGATCACCTTCGATAACTTTACTACTTCATTTCAAAAGATTGTGCAGTGCTGGCCCAACAGGCATTCACTACTGCAACAATGAAGGTGCTCAGCGGCAGAAGCTAAGCCGTTGTGTCGGGCAAGTCCCGCAGACTGTTATCAGAGCTAGACAGGCCTCACGCTTGTTGGGTTTTGCAGGATCATTGTGCCGGCTGATAGACAGGAACGGCGATGTTCCCCGAACAGCCGCATTGTAATCCCTGCCTCTGGTCTTGGCCGTTGCTGAAGACAGAATGCAGGTTTTACCACAGCATGGGATGTCCGGATACATGGTGCGTCTCATAGACTTTATTGTGGGGGGCGAGGCTGTCTTGGGTTTGAGGGGGTTTGCTTGTTTGGGGGTAGTTTTTTTGTTGGTGGGGGTAACCCCAACTCTGCCCAGCAGCATACACCTTGAAGCAGGAAAATCAGAAACGAGACGGGGGTCCTGGGCTGCGCAGATGATGACCTAGGGCAGCGCATTGCAGTTTGAGAAATAATCGTGAAAAGGCCTTGAATTGAGTCTATTCCCAAAATGGTCAAAAAGTGATCCGTCGGGCAGAATACTGATTGTTTCCATCCTTAATCCTGGGCGTGGCCAGCGATGAAGCGGAGCAGGTGTGGGTGTGGGAATATGAGACGGAAGAAGGGGCCCATGACCTTTACATGGACATTGGTGAGGAGATCCGCTTCCGAGTCGTGGATGAAACGTTTGTCGATACGTCACCGACGGGTCCGAGCTCTGCAGAGGCTTCCACTTCAAATGCCGCAGAAGAAGTCCAGAAGAAAGAGGCACCCTACACTCTTGTGGTAACTACGTGCATAATTCATACAGCCCAGGGAACGCTGTGGTTTATTCTGTGTCTGAAATAGCATCCTTTTCCCAAGAAACCGACTGCTTTAAGCTGTCCATGAAGCAACCAGAGTCATAAAATGAAAGGAGTGGAAAAGGGGAGAAGGAAGATTGTTCTTGTGGTCACAGTGTGCTTCCCGTGTGTTTTCATTGGAACACTTTGTGGTTGTTGGTGGGGTTTCCCCTTGGGAGGCTGATTTAAAGCAGACTGTGGATGCAGGATCTGCAGGTAGGGGTGAGCATAGGGGGAGCACAGAGCCGGGAGAACCACATCAGGGCTTACCCAGGAGCCAAAGAGTCTCTCCCATGCAGACCCACCCGAGTACAGTGCAAGAGAAAAATGGATCTAAAGCAGTGAAAGCTGTGTTTTCTCACAGCCGGAGTGTGTTGGGACAGTCAGGAGGTGGAATGGGCAAGTGCTTGTTTTGAAGTGTTGAACATTTGGTGTCGTGTTGACAAGGTTTAAAGGAGTCTGGGCAGGTGCTGAGCAGGCTCTAATAGGAAAAAAAGTGAGTACCTCATCTCTAACTCGGGGGGGAGAGGTTTTATCTTTTTATGCTTTTACTCCTGTATTCTCAATGCAGTTTACACTTGCACGCTCTCTCCTTCTGTCTGTGAACAGGGATCGATCAGCGAGCCAGGCCTGGGCCTCCTGTCGTGGTGGACAAACAGTTAGCTGCGATCAGAGCCTGCTCCACAGAAAGTCTTTCCGGTGGATGTTTGGGGGATAAGGGGATCCTGCTGGTGCTCATTGCTCCTCTGACACTGAATGAGAAATTAGACCTGCCAGTCTCTGTTTCCCCTTCAGCTTCCAACCTGCCAGAGCGAGACAGTCCCTTTCAAGAAATGTCTTCACTGATCTGTAGAAGTGAATTTACAGGCACAAAAAGCCTTGAGCGCAGCAGCAACAAACTCAGCTGGAGCTTTGGTCTCCTGCCCTGCAGGGAAAACTGGGGAGGTCTTTACTTGCCAGAATTAAGAAGGGAGTTGACTTCAGTGAGTGAAAGCAAGAGAGAATGCCTGTCAAGAAGTATTGCTTGATCTCAGAGGGGTAGAAACCTTGCCCCCCTTTTTGACAGGAAATGGAGAAGAAACAGCAAAAGACTATAGAGTTAATAGAGGTGTGGTGCTCTGGAAAATACTGCTGCTGGGAGGGCAGGGGAGGTGGTGGTGATGTTCTGCTATGAATGGCAACGTTAACCTGTGGATGAAGTTGGCCAGAGAGAGTTGGAATGACAGTACTTTACCCGAAAGTACCTTGGGCTCTGTGAAGATGACCGCTGTGGAAAGGTACGGGCTGCTTGGAGACACGTTATTGGGTGGGCTGTATTTATGTAGAATGACCTAAACTTTGCAGGAGTTTGATGGAAAATACATAATTATGAACTGAAATGGACCAAAGCTGCTTTGAGCAAGCTAAATACTTGTTTGTGGGGGTGTGTTAATACCAGAAATAGAATAAATAGTAAAAACCACACAGCCTGCCCGCCTTCCTGTACAATTTGTGGGGAAGCTATGAGCTTCCTGCCTAGCAGGAAGAAAAAAGTTGCCTCCTGCAGTTCAGCTACTTGGATTTCAAGGCAGAGAGTGTTGAGACCAACACTTTGCTCTAACAGCCAATAACAAACAATTGCCATCACCCTCCCTGCCAGCAGTAAAAGGAAAGGGGGGAACAAAACAGTGAGTAAAATCTATGCAGGGCCCATTGCCAAGGGAGTGATGTTGCACATAATTACAAAGCCGGCCACATTTGGCAGGAAGGGGCTATAATTCCCTGGGATAGTGGGTCTGCTTAACCTCCAACTGTGAAAACAAAGCCTGAGTCACCAGCACCCTCCCTGCAGCGTCGTTAGAACCCCTTCATTCTGAACTGTTATTCCTGGTGCGTTGCCCTAATTAAAAGGGAGCCCAGAATTCTTTAGGTTTGCATAGTAACGGAGGTCCATCTGCTCAGACAATAAGCTTACTGAATGCCGGCTACGGAGCGGTAGTGCTCAGACATGCAATCATCTCGCCACGGTGGAAACAAGCTGTTTGCAGCAACCCCCAGCTGTTTGTATAGGTGGGGATTGGGGTGAAGTGAGTTGGAGCCTCAGCCACCCACGAGGCTTCCACACGAGCTGTTTTCGGGTAGGGCCTGGGGGCAGCGGAGCAGGGAAAGCAGCCCAGGTACCTCCCGGTAGCTGTGGCGCTCAGCTCCCATGTCACAGGGTCGGCGCTCCCAGGAGTGTAGCGAGGTGGTGGCTGCACGGTTTTACGTGCTGACCTAATGAGATCCTCATCATCAGTCTCCTAGTGCAGAGAAGGCAAGCTGGGCTTGAGGAAACGAGTTTACTGCTGAGGGAGCATATAAACGACTTGTTCCTTACCAGTTTGTCATTGCTGCAGTACTGGCACTTGTCACCCTGGACAGGATTGTAGTGGGGAAGGCGGAGATAGGCGTGACTGTAGCCTGCAGTAGGTTAATGTCAAGGGATAAACGGTGCAAGACAGCTGAGAGGGATTTTTTGTTTTACCATGTATTTTTGTGCACAGCAATAATTTGCAGAATCAGAACTGGGCAGGTACCACCCGCTATCTCCAAGACGTTATTTCCCACCCTCCTAGCCACAGGGGCTGTTATATGAATATAACAACACAAGGCAGAATAGATGGTCACATTCTTTATTTTCATTTGATTTCTTTAGCCATCAGTAAAGTGAATGGGCAGAAAACAACCAACTGAGCAGACAAACCCACCGTAGCTGGTTATTTCCAAATATAAATAACTGTGGGACAACCGAAATTGAGCCAAAATAGAAAAAGGGAGCTGGGGGACTTAAAAGACAAAAGTAAGCCTAGCTGCACTCCCTTTTCATAGTGTCAGTGAAGAGGAAGTACCATAACAAAAAGGAAGCTATGGTTACATTTGATCAGACATTTATTCCAACAATAGGTATGGAATTGCACTTTCATGAAAATGCCAAAGCTGAATCGAGTCCAGTGCACTGGGGGCGTTGTGCGCCCTTAGCTTGATTTCTGCTGCAGCTCCTTCATTCTGTTCAGGGCACTGCCAGCTTGGAACC